TTCTGAATAGCAGAGCCCTATCCAAACATATTCATATATTCATTCATATAATATAAACAATCCATCGTCAATCCATCCCGACGCAACATTCAGGTATAATCCTATTCTAATATTTTTATTAATTTCGTCATGTCTTTCAATTTGGTATCAAAGAAATGTTTTAGGTACACACAACACCAAAGCTTGTGCGAAAAGGAAAAAAGAAGATTGCTACCAGTTCAATACCCCCGCCTCCTCCTCCAGTATTCTTTGTTGATCCAGACTTTACAGTTTTGTGTCTGCAGCCTTACGTACCAGGTTGTGAGGTTGTGTTACAAAAATATATTTTTTCACAACTATATGGTGTGACACAGATTTTACAATCTCATCCTAGATAAAGATTTTTGGAGTTTGTTGTTTAGGCATAAGGATGACGTTGGTTAGTTGAAATAGTAAGTATTTATAAATTCATGCTTACAAGTAATTGTTTTTTATTCTTTTATAACAAATGTACCAAAACGTTGGCTACATATTACAATTTGGATTAGACTTCTGATGGTGAGAATGTTTGAAGGTGACCGGTATACCATCATGCCTCCAGCCTTTTTTGTTTGCCATACTCTGGGAGAGGGTGATTGGACTGTATTTGCTTCGAGGAAAGCTAAATACCCTGACTTTATGGTTCCTAAGTGGGATGTGGATAGGTATAAATATAGTTTATTGAAATTACAGTCATTATAATACTTTGTTTTTATCGCAATATTAATAATTAATTATTTTATCAACTTTGTGCAAGTTTATATGTCGATTCATTACTATCCAAATTATTGGTTGTTAAGTGATTTACATCCAGAGTTAATGGAAGTCCATTTGTATGATAGTGTGGGTAGAAGCGTTTATAACGGGCTTGAGTCAAATGGAACATTTACCAAGTTTGAGGCTTGTGACAAAACTTTTAGAGAAAATTAAGAGTAAATTACACTGATGGTCCCTGTGATTTAAGGTAGTTTGCATGTTTGGTCTCTAACTTGTTTTTTTTTATCTCGGAAGGTCCTTATAACTAACTTTGTGTAGGTTTGGCATCAATGTCTTCTTTGTCTTCGGTTTGTAGTTTTATGTTATAGTCCTTTGTGATTGATATGTTGAGTTGTTTAATGGGTAAAAAGAACTTACATTCCATACACGTGCTAAGAACATAAAAGGGATGATACTATTATGTGTTCATTTTGTAAACATAACAAGAGTGACAAAACTCATAACCAAAAACATACAAGAGATCATCAACAGCCAAAACACAATTCAAAGTAAAACCGTATCAATACAAAATGAGTCACACGTATCATAATTGACCATATATGATGAAAAACATAAGAACGAAGAAAGAATACATGCAAAAAAATGTATAAACTAGAAAAACAAAGGCCAAAAATACATACATTAAGATGAAGGTAGGTAGATACATACTCTAGTAGACTTGGGTAACCTTGCTTGCAAGAACACGCTCTCGTCTTTCCACATATTCAACAGGAAACCAACCTGCTTTCCCTTTGCATTCACCTTCAGCCCAACCATTGTTTGACACCTGTACATTTTTTTACCAAATACAAGTTTTGTAACCAAAATATTATTAAAGGAAACAATAACAATAAAGAAAATTCAAAAGGTATAGACCTTTCTGATAACGACAAAATCACCCGATGATAAATTGAGCTCCACATCAGACTCTGCATCATACGAGAACATTGCCTAGAAGGAAGTACATGATATGGAGAATTAAGTTAGTTTATTAGTTATAAATTATAATAGACATATCAAGAAACAGTCAGTTTGTATGTATGTACCTCTCCTAAAAAGTAATTCCCCCCATCATTTGAACCATTTTGCATTGGAGAAGGAGATGTGTTGTTATTGATTTCTTCATATGATGGAGGTGAAAATGGAGGAGGAGGTGTTTCCATTGTTGGAGTAGGAGGAGCTGCTTCAATTCGTTGGCGCTCTGATACCATCTACAAATTTCCCATTTGGCAAATAATAAAATAAAAATACTAAAAAGGAAATTATTAATCTTATTGCATAATGCATACCTCTCCTTCAAGATGATCAAGAATCTGAATAACCTTCTCATGATAAGCACGCTCCGATTCAATCTATCAAAAAAACACATGTTTTAAAAATATATATACCAAAAGATATGAAATGAAATTGATCCTAAAACATTAAAATATTTTTACCATGGAAATAAGTCTCTGTAGTGTCATATTTTGCTGCTGAGATTCAACTGCAGCCATTGCTGATGCAGCTTCCTTTCCCAATATTGACATGTTGGACTTCAAATCTTGTAATTTTGATTCGGCTGCTTCAAGTCTTGCAAATAATTCTGGATTCCCAGTTCCTTCCATCACTTTTGTTTGTCGTTTTGAAACTTCAATCACCTACTTTCCAAATTTTAAGTTAAATAATTACTGTCAAAATATAAAAAACTATGACCTATACTCATTTTTCAATTTTAGTTCCTACAAGTTCATTTCTTCCAGTTTTGGTCCTTATTTGAGGTTTTTGTAACCATTTTGGTCTCTCATCCAAGTAAAATGACTATAATTTTATCAGCTATACTCAGGGACCACAAAATAGTCACTTTACATAATACGAGGACCAAAAATGTCATAACAACAAAAACTACAAGATAAAGAATTTTTGGGACCAAAAATAGTCGGTTTACTTGGAACAAGGACCAAAAATGTTACAAGAACCTCAAATAAAGACAAAAACTGCAAGAGAAAACTTTTTGGGAGCAAAAATAGCCAGTTTACTTAATACAAGTGTAAAGAAGTATCATAAGAAGTTAAGAACCTCAAATAAGGACCAAAACTGCAAAAGAAAACTTTTTGGGACCACAATTGCAAAAACCAGCTATACTCAGGGACCAAATATGTAATTTACTCAAGACAATATGAAACACCTGTGCTTCAGCCTCTTGTCGCATTCTGTCATAACGTTGAGCAAGATGTCGAGCATCTTCAAGAGGAGCTCCCATTACCATTGCTCTTAATGGCTCTGCAACCTGCACACAACAGACATGTTATTTACACCCCCCCAAAAAAAATTTAAAAAATATATAAAAAATATTATGATGTATTTTAAACCTGGGTCCCAAAAGATTTGAGTAGATTTCCTCGTTCCTTTTCCATTTGTGCACGGGCTCGTGAAAAATTGACTGCAGCTCTTGATAGTGTATTCCCACTAGTGCATGTATTCTCAATACCATATTTTCTGCTATCTTCTGATAATTTACTTCCTGTGAAAAGATTCAGTTCATGTAAAAGCTTTAATTACATCATGAAATTTAAAGGCATAAATAACAAACTTGCCTATTTCAACTTGTTTGGAACCCGTAACTATGTATCCTTCAACACCACGAACAATGTCTCTTTGAAAATGCTGAAATGCAAAAGCAAGTTAATTTCATCTACAGAATAAAATCTTATATATGTTTATTCTTGATTTATTAACCAATATGTGGAGAGAGCAACCTTAGCAGCACGTGTGGATATGTATAGTCTTTCAAGTTTCTGGTGAAGCATGAGTTCTGCTTCATCTGTTACCACGTTATCTGAACCTCCATAACCTCCACCACCAAACTGCTTGAAAACCGCCTACATTTTAAACCAATTATTATATAATTATGTATTGTGATAAGGTAGTATAATATCAAATGGGTAACAAAGAATGAAGTATCTCAAACCAATTGCAGATATAAGCAACTTTAACATATGAGCATTTTTTATAAATAAGTTTTGTCCACATTAAGGTTTTGTTCCCATTAAGTCAAAATGTAACAGCACTTTAGCTCAAAATGCAGCCTATATAATGACTAAATCGCAAGTGTTCCCTTTACTGTGTTTAAGTGATCATATTCATCTTGGAAGCAAAAAAGATTCTATCAAGTCATATGTGGTCTCTAAAAGAATAAAGATATGATAAACTCTACATCATAAAACTTTCAAATCTCTAAAGGACAATCAAAGTGTGCCATTTTTTGTCATTTTGCTGTGTAATACACGCCACACTATATGTTCCACCCATTCTGCAGGTGCCTTAGTTGTGCTTACAGTTACAATCATATGCTCAAATGAATTACATTGATTCAATAGAAGCTCTGAATCACCCACAGAAATTGTTGAAGATGATTCTTCTATTCACCAATTCTCCCTCGAAAATTAGCAACATTGTCTTTCTACCTCCAACCATAATATGTTCACAACACTTCCCACAACAAACTTTATAGAACCACATCCTTTTTTGTACAAGTAACAAAAAAGAACTACATAAATGTTTGTGATCAAGCTCACTGTTTTTTGACTCTACAGCTTTTATGAATTTAGACACCTGTAGTTCGGTTTATGCAAATAACTTTATATCACTTATAATTTTTAAAATACCCAGATCCTATAAGCATGAGAGTGTCTACTTTCTTAGTAAACACCAGCTGTACAAAGTTCATGGTTGTTGAATCACGCATTTCACCTTATGTGTAAGGGAAATTTCACTACCTCGATCAAAACTTCAAGGTTAAGCTACAAAGTTAGGGATTAAAGTACATTACCAGCGTATAAGAGAGATCGACACCGCTTCATCCAAATTAACCAAATCCAATATGATAAATCTTTTAGGCAAAAAAATATGCTAACCTCATCAAAACTTCTAACAAGTATTCATCCTAATGCTAGTTATGCAGATGCCAACTATTAGGTTGGTTACTTGTCATATATAACGAGTAGCTAATTATATGAACTGGAAGAGTAATCACTTTATCAGATTCATCGATATATCCTCGACAGTAAACAGTTGTGAATTATTATTGATATGAACGGATTTCGGGGGCAAAACCGAATCAGATTCAAATTGAAAGCAACGAATTTCTTGATTGTACCTGTTGTTGTCTGGCAACCTGTTCCCGGAGCTTCGTTGCTTGTTTCCTGATCGCTTCCATTCACGAATTGGCCAATAAAGGAAGAAATCAATGGATGTGGAAGTAATTTGACGGATTATCGCCGGAGATTTATTCCTTTGATCGGATATAGATATTTATAAATCAAATTTCATATGCGAATTGTTTCTTTCGTTTTACGATTTTGAATCGAGTTTCTTCTCGTTATGCTTTCAAATGAAATACCACCTCCCCGATCGAAGGTTCTAAAATACTATTTTGCCCCTAAGGTTTTTCCGTTTTTGTACCGAATGGATGAGACGTTTATGGTACTTATTAGATCGGGAAATTGAGGAGGGTAATTAACTTTTGTGTTTGTACTTATTTGTCCATTTTTTTTAGTATTCAATATATCATCGAACTTGTTGTTTGTGTTCATCATAACCTTTTTGATCTGTGATAGCCGGTCAAAGGGTTATGGTGAACAAAAACAACAAGTTCGATGGTATATTGAGTACAAAAAAAAATGGACCAAATGAGAAGAAATGCAACACTTGGTTACCCTCCTGATTTATTTTCCCTTTACTCATTTACAACAAATCTCACGTCGTCTCCTACTGATATTAATGACTTTATGAGATTCATTCTTGTTTCTCTTCAAAACATAACCCACGAAAGAACATTATTCATACATGTACAATTTTGTAATGCACTTGAATATTTATTAGGGGAATCTTGATTAAACAGACGCATTTCATGACTACATTTACATTTCCAATCAAATGATTTATCGTATCATGGATTCTAGACAAG